TATTATTATTATTATTATTATTATTATTATTATTATTATTATTATTATGGGGTGCCGTTTGTAAAGTTACACAGTCAAAAATTAACAGCAATAGTTTGGTTTATTTAGCAAAAGGTTTTTTGTTTTTTTTTCTAAGTCACAGTTTCACCATGTTATTCATGCATTTATAAATGTCATAGCTCACTAACTAAATGTTTAATTTGCAAGTTAAGTATTTAGTTAGCAAGCTAAATATTTAGCTCCACACTAAATATTTAGTTTACAAACAATATGATTATGTCCAAGCTAAATGTTAAATTTACAAACTAAACATTTAATGTCTAAGATAAACATATAATTCCTAAACTAAATATTTAATTTGATAACTAAATATTTAGGTCGGATCTAAATATTTAACTCGCTAACAAAATATATAGATATTTTTAATATCTAATTATTTTTTATTTATTTAAATATTTTAATTTGTAAATTAAACCTTTAGCTTGAACATGTACATTTGGTTTGTAAATTAAATATTTAGTGTGAAACTAAATATTTAACTTGCAAATTAAATATTTAGTTAAGAACTATGCCATTTATAAATGTATGAATAACATGGTGAAACTATGACTTTGAAAAAAAAAACATTTTTTTCTTGGGAAAGGCTAAACTAAAATATTGCTTTTAATTTTTGACTGTGTAACTTTACAAACAGCACCCCATAAATAATAACAAACTTAAATATATCCAATATTAATCAATTCTGCATCCATCCATCAAGTTTGAATCCAAAATGACAAGTTTCATAATCAGGGTGTGGCGATAAAAACTGAACAGTAAAATGGTGAAACATCTGAGAGGCTTTAATTCTCCCAAGAAGTAGCCAGATCCCTACAAGATGTTTACTGTTCCCAAACAGAACCAGATCCCTCCTTTAACAAAACCATTAAACTTGACTGATATTTAGATATTTTCTTTGTTTTTAAACCAAAGCGGCTCCAGACTGGGGCTGAAGTTAAGTTGGTTTCCATCATAAACCTGTTGGATCTTCCCACCTGAGAAGGTCACTGCAGATCCGCAGGTCCTCCTCAGCTGGACCGGCTCTTCCTGCACCTCTGGGGTGTGTGTTGAACACTGTTCTGTCGTTCAATGGATCGAGGTGTAAAATGGACGTCTTAGTCGTTTCATCAGAGCATGAATCTGTTTTGAGCAGCAGTTTGTGTTTCTGAAAGTGCAGCACCAACCAGAACTTCTGAACGGTTCTGCAAACCAGAACTTCATGAGTCGTTTTCAGCAGGATCTGTTAGCGCTGGTCTCTTAAAAACAATGTTGTATAGAAGTAAGTTATTAAGTCAAGTCAAGTCAAGTCAAGTCATCTTTATTTGTAGAGCACAATTTAAAACAGATAAACTGTTATCAAAGTGCTTAACAGAAATGTAGCAAAACATAGGCAGCAAAACAAAAACATCATACAGAATTAAAATTACTGGAGCAATAACACACACTAATGATCACACTAAGGAAAAACAAGCAGTAAAAATAAACGTCAATCATAAAACAACAGAATTAAAATGAGGTACACAGAACAAAATAAACTAACTCACACCGTATTAAACGCCAGAGCAAACAGGTGCGTTTTAAGGAGGGATTTGAACATCAGGAGGGAGGAGGCCTGCCTGATGTTGAGGGGCAAGTTGTTCCACAGGTTGGGACCTCTGACTGAAAAAGCTCGATCCCCTCGGAGCTTCAGGCGTGATTTTGGAACGACCAAAAGAAGCTGGTCCGATGATCTCAGGGCCCGAGACGGAACATATGGTTCCAGGAGCTCGGAGAGGTAGAGGGGTGCGAGGCCATTTAGGCACTTATATGTCAGGAGGAGAATCTTGAAGTCGATTCTGGATCGCACAGGAAGCCAGTGAAGGGAGGACAGAACAGGTGTGATGTGCTCAGACCTACGTGTACCAGTTAAAAGCCGAGCAGCTGCATTTTGTTTAATAAATTTAGCTGATCATGGTTGGGAGCGCAGCATTGTCTAAGAGCTGGTTCTGTGGTTCAGGTGGTGGACCTCCTGGTGAGCAACATTCTGAAGGAGTCCGGGCCCAGTTGGACCTTTACCAGCAGGTTTCAGGACAGAACCTGGAGCTTTGACTGTCGGAACAAAACCAGTTTGTACCAGAACAGAGTCTGGCCTTGAAACGACACAAACATTTCTCGCAGCACTTTCCAGACGTTTCTATCAAAGTAGAAAAATTAAAAATATGAATCACAAACACGATTGTGTTCTTCTTAATTAAATATAAATCTATGTAACTAAAAGCACTTCAGCTAACCAAAAAAAAAAAGAAAAAAGGTTTTAAAGACCTCACTTGTGCGTGCGAAGTTGTTTTAAGTTTTTACAGGAAAAAAAAACACGTAAATATCAAATAGATTTGTAACTACAGATAAATCCTGTGCCGTTTTCTGTCTTCTAATAAAATTCAGCGAGGGCTTCCTATAAGTTGTTCTCTATGAAAAGTCCTGAGGATATGAATTTAAATTCCCTTTTAGCGAGAGCCCTGCTGGTTTTATTCACTCACTTCGCTCTTTTCAGAGCTGCACCTCTTTGAGAGCTGCAGCTTCTCTGCACAGAGATGCAATGAAAAAATAAAAGCCTTGTCCAGACAGGAGAATTACCATAAAGCTACAAAACTGCTGTGCCTGAAGTGATTCACAGTAACATGTAGGAAGCCGTGCTGCCTTGAATTAGCTACTACAAGTGACTTCTAGATAAGACTTCATCGGGTGTGGACCTGGACCTCCGCCTGTTGGACTCTTTCACCTTATCCAGTGTTTACAAGGTGCATTTGTCTGTGCTGAAAGGAGGCAATTAATGTTAGTTAAATGCAAGAAGAAACGACAAGTTTATAGAAGGGAAAGTATACATTTAAAGACATTTAAATCTACAATCCAAAAATCTGATAATGTTCAATCTCACAGCCAGAAGAGGATTCTTTTGATAGTTTTTTGCTAAAAAATACAATTTGGTTTAATTGTCTTTATCGATCAGCTATATTTGTCCCCATCATTGTGACTTTAGTGTCCAGAATGAGAGGAATGGCGATGCTGAGACAGCAGCTGCTGGGAACTCTTCCTGCTCTCACTTTGTTGTTGCAGCTTTTCATTCGTTTTATTTTGAAAGGTCTACCGCGAAGCAGCGTGAGAGCAAACCGTTTGTGCAGCGGAGGCCGGACTGGCCACGGAGGACAGTGAATCGGTGGGTTTCTACGTACCGAAGGAAGCGGTTGAGGTCTCCGTGTCTCATGTACTCGAACACCATGGCCAGAGGCTCTCCGTCCGTGCACACGCCGTAGAAGCGCACGATGTGTTGGTGCTGGAGCACCGTCAGCAGCTCTGCCTCCCGCTGGAAGTCCTGCCGGGTCGACTCGTTTGCGTCCTTCAGAGTCTGCAGTCGAACGAGATGGATTGAGAACGACTGAACAACAACTTTTCATAAGATAAAGGTTTGTAAGCTCAATCAGTTTGGCCTAAAGCACTTGAGTGTTATACGTGATCATGTATAACGATCATCGATGATTGCCGTAGTTTTCGGACTATAAGGCGCATTAAATGAAACAAGTTCATTTTGACAGATTTTTGAGTGCCGTGTACCGCATAAAATCAGTTCGAGGTCAGTAAGTACAACCAGAATTGATGCATAATCACTGTCGATTTTTGAGAAAATTCAAGGATTTTAAATGCGCCTTATAGTCCGAAAAATACGGTGATTGTTTTGGACAGATGGTCCATTTTTGCACGCGTAAATCACGTTTCTTTGGATTCCACAGACAGCTGGCTCGAAACACATCAAGGAGGTGAGACAGACCTGGGTTAGCAGGCCTCAGACCCATGAAGTCTCTCAGATGAAAGACGAAACGTTTCTCCTGTAAATGAACGTCCGCATGACGCGATTGAACTTTTCTGTAACTTATTTTATAATTTCTTTCATTAATTTAATGCGTCCTGAGTCATTAGATTCACAAACTGAGTAAAGAATCTCACGAGGCGCTGAGGATGAAAATCTGCATCATCCACCAACGTTCCAGGGTTTTGGATCAAGACCAGCTTTTCCACAACATTGTGCTTTAGTCGTGCACAACTTTGTAAATTGTAGCACAAAAACTGTAAAATTTAACGTGGCTCTTCTCAAACCAGGTTGACTAAAAGTTATCGAGTTGTAGACGATTATCTAAGGATTACTTTGAGTTTTGTTCAAATACAAGCACGGTTCATGAGAAATTTTGCTAACAGACAGACAGGGTTGACTCCAAGACTTAATCCCAATGTTTTAAACAAAGATCTTAACCAGTTTGTCAGTGCTCATGGTTTGTGTTAGGGGTGACTCTTAGCTACTACCAACCCCAATTTTAGCTCAGTATTTGTAAAATTCACTGACTTATTTTTCACTCAGCCTTTTTTTAAACAGATAAATCACGTTGAGCCTCGAAGACTCATTTACAAGTGAGACCTGTTTGGACAGACAATAAAAGTGGTGAAAGTGACACCATAGGTTTTGGAGGCAAAAAAAAAAACCTGACGTGCTCATTCTTTGGCTGAAGATTAAAAGCATGAAAATGAAAATAACCTCGCGCACAAGCACATAATGACACCAACATTTTGCATGGGGGGCGGGGGGACGCAAGGGCAGTGAGTATGTCCAGAGACAACACACAGAGACGCTGCAGAGTTCAGATAAGAGTCGCTCAGTTCACATAGTTCCCTCTACAGCCAAGGACGACATCAGATAGAATCCAAAGAGTCCTGAAATGATGACAGAAGGTTTATTCAGCCGGGCCCCTCTGATTGGTCCATAGACTTCCTCTGTGTGTGGGGGTGTGTGGGTGTGGGGGGGGGGGGGGCAGAGCATCAAGGTTTACAGAGCTTCCAGGCGAATTAAGATGAGATGGCCTGTCAAGGCCAGTCAAGAAGCCGAATTCAGATAAACACGATTGTTTTGGGGACAGGCAGAACTTCACTGGGTGTGTTTACATGGACATAAGTAACCGGATCAAATGACCGGTCGGAATAAAAGTGTGTCATGTAAACACTCCGTTCGGGTTATTTTTTGTGTATTCGGCGCGATCCGATATAATTTGCGATCAGAACGAAACGGGTGGTTTACGCCGATCCGTAACTCGATCGGTGCGCATGTAAACGCTTGATCCGTTCGTTTTTATCTGATCGTGAAAAACTGACCTGACTGCGCATGTGCGACTTTGCCATTTCCGCCTGGCTAATGCTAATAATATTAGCATGTCAGGGAAGTAAAACTGGTCGGTGAGCGACACAACATTTTTACTAGAAACTTTGAAAGAGCTCAAAATGATCTGTATTACCTGTAGATCAGTCAGGGAGTGCAGTAACGCCTCCGCCATCATTAAAACCTGTCGCGGGTCCATTTTGGGTGCTCAGGTTTGTTTACGTTCACCCGGAAGTAGAACTTCTTCTTCTGTGTTTTTTTAAGGAGAGTTTACCACTCTGCGCATGTCAGTACTGTTGTTCAGAACAAAGCCCGCTGCATGTAAACGCTCGTCATGAACAGATTGCGCCCATGTAAACAACACATTTGAATTATTCAAACAGAACACATTTCAATCTGGTCAAAGAATTCTGCGCATGTAAACATAGCTACTGATTATGTCTAGATTGAGTCTGTGTCCATTCTCTCAGCTCCAAAACGTCCAAATTACATGGCCATACCATTGGACTGTGCCTGAGAGTAATCCCCGAGATCTGATCCATCCTGCCAAAAGCATTTGAGTCTGGGTGCTCGAGGCACGAACCAAGCCATCATAAGGCAAGCAGCCTGAACGGGTCCAAATTTGCTGCCGACAACTTCTTTGTTTGTTGATGAACCAGGAATCAGCCAAAAAGCGTAAACCAGTTATCATAAATCCAATTATATGGTTCCTTAACATACACAAATCGCAGCAGAGATAGACATATCATCAAGTCTTCCAAGTCGATGATATCCAGCTGCTTACGTGCCAACAGGACAAATCGGCTCACCTAAAGCCTGTCTTCTCTTCAAAGAAATGTTGTCAGTTGCGTTGAGGGATCAACTGACCAAATTCATAGTAGAATAATGATTCAGAAGATTTGTAGAAGAGAGGCTCTAAAGCAGTTCCACAGACAGGATAGAGCAAAGCAAAATGGAGAGGGAGAGGAGGGGAAAGGCATCCGCCCTTGACAACAGCAAGTCAATTATTATTGCAGTTTCTGTGTTTGCTAAATTTAATTTAATTAAAATCAGCTTCTAATGCAGTTACATAATAAGTTTAGCCCAAATCAGACATTTTTCATTTTATTTCAAGGTTAAAACAAAAGAAAACATAAGTTTATATTTTCTAAGCATATTTATTTTGATTAATTTATTTCCCTCAACAGTTTTCTCAGTTTTCCATCTAATTTGAAAAGCTTTTTAAACTACATTTAAACAAATAAAAGACGTTAAAACAACAGATTTCCAATTATTTTTTGTTATTTAACTTTCCTCAGAAGGTCTCGGAGGTTCTCGCGCCGTCCAGCTCAGATGCGTGATGGAAGCTGTGATTGATGGGACGATAAATGAAAGCTCGTAATGTTCTTATGTGGTCTGCATCAACCTGATGTAACATGAGCTGTGTCTTAAATCAGCTGACAGCAACGACAGCTCACTCTAAAGCCACAGATAAAGCAGATTACAGCAGAGTGTTGGATAAACTTTAAATATTGAAGGAAACTCGAGCATTTTCAGACGTTATTGAAGACATGAGAGGAAGACATACTAATGGACAAGTTGTGCTTCAACCTGGACAGTTTTACTTGTAATTTGTTAACATTTGCTGTTCAAAGCATTACATTTTCAATAAAAACTGTGTAAAAATAAACCTGTGTTGCCAGTAATTTTAGTCATGATCAAACTCTGACTTTATTTTGAGTCATTTTCTTTTCACCAATGCTTCACACGAGGATCAAAAATATGATTTATCTGCATTAGGAACAAGCATTTAAAGACTCCGACTGGATTTTAAGGATTCAAGGTTCTTTATTTGTCATTCCACCACATGTCGTACATGTGGTGGAATGAAATTGTCTACACAGGGTCCCAGTTACATCCAACAAAAGTACAAAGTATAAAATGTAAAAGAAAAACAGTAATAAGACAAAAGCAATACGCCGAACAGCAGCACGAACATGAGTCTGTGTGAGCAGATGAGCACGAACGAACACATCAACATAAAACAGATCAGCAGCAACAGGAAACAGATCAGCAGCAACATGATGTGGTTTTTCACAGTGATTATTCTGGTTAGAGATTCATGAGTCTAACAGCCTCAGGGTAGAAGCTGTTCCTCAGTCTAGTGGTTCTACACTTAATGCTCCTTAACCTCCTTCCTGAGGGGAGTGGGGTAAAAAGTGTGTGTGCTGGGTGAGTGTGGTCCTTCATGATGCAGGTGGCCCTCTTCCTGCATCTGGAGGTGTGATCAGGTCTGTGATGGTGGGGAGCCTGACTCCAACATCTTGTGCAGCCTTCACCACTCTCTGCAAAGCTTTTCTTTCATTTGGAGTTATTATGGGAGTCATGAGCATATTTCATGCCGACAGCAATTTTGTAAACCAAGTTTTAGGTTCTGCAAAGATCAGTAATCTGTTAAGTGTTTGAAATAAACAAACCTATCTTAATCCAAGAATAGTTTAAAAGGAATCTGTCGATAAAGTCTTAGAAAGCACAGAAAGTGCCAAAGAAGTAAACAAAGATAAAGTCAGAGCAATAAAAGACAAATGTAAATGCAACGTAAGGCTGCAGCAAATATGCTGTTTCATGATATATTTTTTTGGTCATTTGTTGTTAATATTTGAAAAAAAAAGAATTAGTTCATTTAGTAAATCAAGTTCAGATTTTTTAACTATATTCACTTTTATTCTTTAAAGTGGTTCCTGAGAAATTGCATAAAACTGACAACATAAAGCCTCGTTCAGTTCCAGAAGGATTTCCATCACTGCGTGCTCGGCCTGAAGCAGAAGAGGAGAAACGTTCATCTAAAAACAGACGACACAAACTCTGACGAGCCAGCGTGCTCCACCATGGCATGACAATGGTGTTTGCTCAAACTAACAAAATGCTTTTAACGTTGATGCAAAGCAGAAAAGAAATGTTTCCAGGTGTGCTCATTGTACTCGACTCTGAGATGACGAGGAGCCGCCATGTTGGAAGACGACACGACACAATAAGTTCATGCAGCTATAATAGTCAGCTTTGATGTTTCCAGATGTTCGATTAGACAAAGACAAGAAGACATTTGTCAGAATCCTAGCCCACCAACAAACTCTCATAACCCAGCAGAGAAGACACCAGTTGTATAAACCTGACCAGTCCTCAACAGACTCATCGTAGGACTCCTAAACAGCTTAGACGTCACATTTCCAGAGTATCAGCACATGTGCTGAGCTCACAGCAGCTGCAGGAACTGTAAAGAGCTCCTCACCTTGATGGCAACCAGCATCTTGTCGTTATCCGGGCTGAGGTTGGCACACTCTGCCAGGTAGACTTTGCCGAAGGCTCCTTCACCGAGCTCCCACTTCAACACGATGTCCTGCCGCTTGATGTGCTGAACACCTGGGATCATGGAAAACAGAAACCGGTCAACACTGTCTCTGATTCATGTCCAGCCCAGAAGAACCAAGTCTCTGCTTCGCCTGCACTGATCGCTCTGAAATCTAACTTCCATTTCCACCCCAAATAGTTGCAGTTCACCACAACAAGAGGAGTTAAAACTTTATATCTAATAACGGTGCTACAGGAAGCCAGAAGGAACAAAACAAACTAATTTTATCAAAACAAAAGGTTTAAAATTGTTCAAAAGAGCGAAGTTTTGATTTATTATTTGCCACACTTTTAGAATTAAGACAGAAGTATTTCAAAGAAGTATTTTAAATTTCAAACCGAACTTTAAAAATAACTTTTAGGGGGAAAAGGCCGAGTGTCGTGAAGGACTGAAGTGGAAACTGCCACTCACACATGTCTTTGTCCTTGATGATGCCGCAGAAGTACTGGGGGTTCTCCACAAAACTCGACAAACCGGAGTCTTCGTCTGAGGAAGGCGGGCTGGTTCCAAAGTTCATGAACCGAAGCGACACCGCCAGGTCGTCCTCGGTCCCCAGAACTGACGAGCCTAATAAAAATGGAAAAGACGGATCCATGACACCTAATCAGTCTCCAACATGTTGTGATTACAGGAGCCAACAAAAGAAGCAATTCAGCACCCCCCCCCCCCCCCCCCCTTATTTTTTAAAGAATCAACATCTCTGAAACCAACTTGGCTGCACAATTGTTGGTACCATGGTGACAGATGATGACAAGCTCTAATAATCACCATCATCAGCCGCGCAGCAATCAGGCCGCATTGAGCCGTGAAAAAAGTGACCATAGAAGGAGCCTGGCTGGTGAGAAACACCTCACCATGGCATGGATTAAAAGCCCAACAAGTGGAGCCCAAATTGTAAAACTACTCAGCAAGGCAAACCGCAGAACCCCCCAGAGTCCAAAACAGAAGAAAATGGAACAACAAAGTGAAAACCCAGAGGAGATGGAGGGAAGGAAAGAGGGAGAACGTCCACTTAGGCAATCAGACCCACTTAGACACTCTGAGTGTGGAGAGAACACGATGGAAAGTCCACATGGAGCAATAACATGTAACTGTTCATCCATCCAGTCATCCATCCATCCATCCATCCAGCCTCTTTAATGGCCCTCACCATGTGGTGGTGGTTCTGTCATTAAAACACTTTGTGCTGCCTGTGTGCAAACTTGCAGCACAACGAGAACTCGTATCTGGTTACATTGCACGAGATTTCCTGAAAACCCAACGGAACCATTCATAATTTAAAACAATCTGGAAAAGATTATTTTAATTCTACTTTGGCCGAGACAAAAATAATCATTTTTCAAGCTATAATCCAGAACACAATGTTGTTAAAATTAGAGTATACGAACCAAAATCAAGACAGCAGAGCCAGAAACGACGCCTTCGTTTTCATCTCGTGTGCTATTATTGTACGTCACAAAATTCTGCTGCCTTCATTACCCAGAATGCAACTTGACTCCAAAACTTTTTGGTCTGGTGTTTAAGTGCTCAGTCATTTTTCTTCAGAGTTTCAGGGACAAGTTTTTATGGAAGAGTGAAACTAAAAGCTGCAGAAAACATTCATGATAACGGCTCCACTCTCAAAAGATTTCTGGCAGAGAGCGATTTACTACGACTTTACACTTTTGCTTCAGATGGTTATTTTCTTTAAACGCTGCATGTTGGAACGTGACCTCCGGCCCATCGCAGCCCGTTCTGTGTTTAAAGCAAATCCTGCAAAACTTTGTTTCAGCACGAGTAACCTGAATTACTTCAGCCACATCGTGCATTTTACTTACGGTGAATCCCGAACTTGGACTGCTGGCCACACCTGTTGATGACCAAAATCATGACGAGCAGAAACGTGCAGGCGAACCCTGCGAGGCCCACAGCCACAGAAACCTGCCAACACACAAGAGTTCCTTCATTAACAACACTAACATTGATCTAATGATGTATTGGTCCTAATCAAGACATTTGTTCCAGAGTCAGGTCAGTCTGGTTAAATCATTTCATTTATTTTAATCATCGATAATTAACAGAATACAGTAGTCCCTCTATACTTTGCGGTTCAGCTTTCGTGGACTTGCTCTTTCGCGGTTTTTCAAAGATTGGACATGACGCACAATTGGCTGATTAATGGATGATTTAGCACCTGCTGCAGCAGGTTGGGGATGAACTATCCATTGGAGCATCAGGACATTTCCCGGTGACCTGGCCGTTTGCCGAGGAAGACTAAACGCTCAGTTCCGGTCGCGCTTGATTATTTAAAATAAAGCTGCTCGTGCAGCATGAACTGTTTATTTAAATTATTGCAGTACAGTATTTAACTTTAAATTGTTTATTTACACAGAAGGAGAGAGGCTGGGAGTGAGGAGCATGAGTGTGATTGCAGCAGAGAAGTGGGCGTGGCAGAGAGCCGCAGGTGGCAGAGAGCTGAAATCACGACATGCTGTGCTCTTTTAGCGCATTTAGAGTTTAGAAACATTGTTAGGAACATTGCAAGAGTGTGGGAAGGGTTTAAAACACCTTAATACATACCGTATATATGAATATTAAAATAAACTACTACTTACCACTTGTACTACTATCTTTACTTTGCAGTTTTTCACTTATTGTGGGGGTAGTCCCTAACACCCGCAATAAACTAGGGACTACTGTATATTTCTCTTACATGCTAAAACAAATGCAACCAGCTAATATCACACATCACAAACTAAACGAGGGAGCGAGCGGATGTCCTGCCTGCAGTGTCCTCACTGCTTCATTTAGAGGCTCAAATAATGAATTTGTTGATCAAAATTTATTTTTTTATATCTAATATATTGAGTGTTCTTTGTCTTTGATGGTTTCTTTTGGTTGCTCTCTTCTTTAGGGGTCGCCACAGTGAGAAAACGCACAAGAAAGATTTAGCTAAATGTTTGGCGCTGGATGCCCCTCCCGACAGAATGTGGACTCGAACCAGCGGTCTCAAGAACATTAGGCTGCAGTATTTAACCACTGAGCTACTGCAGCTGATGTTTCAAGTTCAAAATGTTAAAAAATGCTGTTTTTGAGCAAAAACTGTCCGTTTGTTATAGAGTTTTAAGATCACAAGTTTATTTATTCAAATGACAAAGTGTCTTGATACAAACATCATGTTTCGTGCTAAATGATCGTTTGCAAAACTTGTCCCTAGAAGTGCTTTCTTAAGAACCCCCCCCCCCCCCCCCCCAAACAAATAATCAAAATGAAGCATAATATAAAGGAAAATGATGAATTGTAGAGTTTTGCTTTCAAATAATCTAAAAAAAAAACACAACACGTTTCTGCTTTTTGTACAATAGGGATCTTTTTTTAAAACTTTTCTATGAATAAAAAGTTGGGATTTTTGAGGGAGTGGGGTGGGCGGTGGGGTTGGGGTTGCCAAAAGATGAGTATAAAATCAGCAAGTACTCCATCTGACTCTTTAATAATCAGGAATCATTGGTCTGTTGGAGACGACAGGCAGACGTACCACAAACACTCGACTCTCCGGGGTCTCTCTGACGTCCATGTCTGATTTGTTGGCAGGACCTGAGGGGAAAGAAGATTCAGAGAAACGTTACCTCCAGACCAACGTGACAGGAAGTATTTGAAGAGACGTCAGTCAAGGACTTACTTGGTGCCCAATCAGAGACTAGCATGAAGGAAGCAAGAGAACAAACATATTTATGGACACAAAATCACAGAAAACCCCAAAATCCAAAGTTCTGTTTAGAATTTTTCAGCTAAAAACCGAGTTTCACTGCTGCTAGACCGTTTTTTTTTTTTAGATCAATTATGTGTGTGTGTGTGTGTGTGGTGGGGGGGGGGGGGGGGCTTACACTGCCCAGTTCAGCAGCAACACATCAAACTCAGACTAAACACTGCCTAAAACTTCTTTATTAAAGCAACTCATACAACGTGTCCCACACTGATGTGACTTTTGTCTTTTTACTGTAACAAACGTGAAACAGGACGACGCCTTGGAGGGAAACTTGTTTTTAACACGACTGGCTGAAGGAGGGGAACGATTAGCAATCAGCAAAATCTAACAAAGATTATTATTTGGATTATTGAGCATGCATCAGGATAATCAGCAAAATATTTTGGAGAATAACTTTTTAACCTGACTAATACAGAAACTTTAAAGCATCTGAAATATGATTAAAAAGCAGTTTAGGCACCAAAATTCATTTGTAAAAAATAATAGTTTCACTGTAATTTACAGTGAAAATATAATTAACTTACAGTAAAAAAGTAATTATTTACAGTAAAACCAGTTTAATTACACTAAGGTCAATAAAAATTACTGTGGCTGGGAACAAGTATTTTACAGTAAACTTCACAGTCACCTTGTTTCAGTATAAAATACTTTTAGACTTTACAAGCACCAGATTAATTGGAACATAAATATTACTTGGACTAATCAAATGATCAAAGAAGGGAAACAGATGAAACATAACGTTCCAGGGTTGTTGTTTTTTTTGTCTTTTTGTGCTGTGTTGATTTGTTTTCTGTCACCGTGTGAAAGAAAACAAAAGATTTAAACTAAAAATTATTTCTCTCAAGGTAAAACTTTGGGTGTTTTTATATTTCTAACAAATCTTCAGTATTTCAGTACTAAATAGTTGGATAAAAACATCTTTGGACACTAACGCATCATCTGAAACCCCACAAACACTCCAGGAATCTGTAACTGGCTGCATTAGGTGCAGTTCATGAACAACTCTTCATGACATGAGGTTTGAAACCTTTCTGATGAGACTCATGTTTAACCAGAACTTAAATACTAACGATCCTCATTACTGATCTGTTTTTTTCATCTGTTCCAGACATCACATGGAGGACTTCTGAGCTGGAAAACATTTGATCCAGTAAGAATTTCAGGAGCTCACATCAGCTGCACTGGTCCAAAGACAAGCTGTCTAAGATCAAGGCTGATCTGGACCCCGCATGCAATCGTTGCAAACAAACTCCAGCTACACTCCTGCATACATTCTGGACCTGTCTCCCACTGCAGACCTTTTGGCAATCTATTTTTGACACCTTCTCTGTGACATGTGGAAAAACTACACCTATCACTCATCTCACTGGTCGGGGTGGCCCCTGTGGACGCATCCTTCAACAAGTACTAGAGGGACGTGATTGCCTTTGGCTCTCCCCTGGCCAGGAGACTAATGTGCAACTGGAAGGAACCACACCCCCCAGCATATGTACATTGGGTTAGGGAGGTGATGTGCCATAACCATTTGGAAAAAATCAGATACACCCTGAAGGGTTCTGTAGGATGATTCTGGGAGACCTGGCAGCCCTTTGTGGTGTTTGTTGAGCACTTGTCAATGCCTGTGTAGTTTATTTGTGTATGTGTGTGTCCGGTGTGGGAGGGGATTTTGTTCTGTTCTGTTTTCTTTGTGTACAAAAGCAAAAAATCAATAAAAAGACCTTGTTTAAACAAAGAATTTCAGGAGCTCACTTGGAATGATCCCTTCTGGGTTGTCCAGAAAGGGGTTGTCCATGAACATCCCAACGGCTGTGGCTGTGTCCCGGCCCAGTTTGTTCTCCACGATGATGGAGTAGTTGCCGTTGTTGATGTGGGTCGGCTTGTTCAGGAAGAGGCAGCCGTGTTTGACGGAGCCGTCGCTCGAGTCCAGGATGTACTGCATGAACGCGTAGTAGCTCTCCTTGAACACGGCGCCGTTGTAAAGCCAAGTGATGTTCGGTTCAGGGTTGCCGTCCACAGCGAACGGGAAGCACCAGTTGTGCTGTGGCACAGCGTCTCTCAGGAAGATGATCTTGGCTGGAACTGTGCGGAGAGACGACAGGTTTGGGTTCAAAACAAATCAAAGGTGAGAATCTGTGGGGCTGAAACACAGAGAGGCGTTAAAAAGACCATTTCCCAACGAGAAATGTAGAAAGAATCTGATGTTAAGCTGCTTTTTAAAGATGGCGGGTTTGTTCTGTATTACCGTTAAGTTGTTTAACTCAGAATTCTTAAGATTTAATTTGTCATCTTTGAAATAAAATCCCATTTCAGACAATCTCTTCTAAAGTGTTGAAGTTTCATCATTGGTCCCACTTTCACTTCTCCTTCCATCATCGTGTTACAGATATCAGATATATCAGATACGTTGTCAGAGATGAATGTTTTATCTCATGGATGACTTGGAGACTCAAAATTCTCTGTAAAAATGAAAACTTCAACTCGGATCTCTCTAAATGACACAACGGCGTGGACTGTAGGCAAAATTTGGACAAAGATTTGCCAGGAGTCTGCAAACAAAGCATCCAATGAATAATAAAAAAATAAGCATCTGAAGAGCTTTATGATTACAGAAGCCAAACTGAGAGGACATCAGCAACAACTACGACTTCTGAGAAAACGTTTCTGCACTATCAGGTATTCAGACGTCATACTTGTACATAAAGTCCTTCATGGGTTGGCTCCACCACCGCTAAAAGACTTTGTCCAATTACATTTGCAACCAAACATAAGTACAAGAGCAGTTAGTAGGGAAGACTGTAAAATACTATTTAGAAAAAGTTATTTCGGTCACTCGTCATTTTCTGTTCAGGTTCCAAATTCTTGCAATAAACTACCATTACAACTAAGAAATATTACGTCATTAAACTGTTTTCGGAAATCACTTAAGCGATGGTTACTAGATAATCAAAATTGTACTTATGTTTTGAATAATTCTTAAATCAACTTTTTACTAGCTATATTTAAAATGGTCATGACTTATAGGTCCTGTAAGTTGCTATGTATGTTAATTTTTTTTTTTTTTTTAATCTCTTACATCAACCTGCAGACTACAGATGTAAATTAGCTTCACTGGCTAAATTTGGCATATTTATGGATGTATTCATGTTGGTTAATATGCATTGTCCCTTTATGAAATACATTTTCTAACTTGTTTGAGGCTCCTGTGAGGACCACAATCCTTTTCAGAAAGTGCCAGTATCACTGTTTTCTTCTGCAGATTAACTTCTGAGGTTCAGGTTATGCTATAACAGAAGCTATCTGATAATAAGCTAAAGTCTTTTTGTTTTAGTTATAGAAAAATATCATTAAGTTTGCAAATTAACTTGACAAAACTGGAGTATTTGAAGTCAACACGACAAGCTTTGGGAGACTTTGACAAAATAAAAATAAAAATCAAGAACTGTACTTGAGGGATGAGCCTAAACTGGCTGGATTAAGAAAAATGAATTACTTGAATTATCCGAAAAGATAAATTAAAAGTGCTGCCAAAACAGGAAGTTCAAAAATGCTAAACGTGAAAGTTAAAATGGGCAAAACTAATGAGAAAGAACGAATAGAAATCCAACAGAACTTCAATCAAACACGTCGAGGAGTAAATGACTTCATATGAAGCAGGTGTGACGATTAACAAATCAGAACCAGATGTTAGGTGTTCAGTCTCTTTTACTTTGAAGGGCTCTATTGGAGGGAAACGAGTCAGAATTGTTTGTAGCAGCCGAGATAGGAGCTAATCCAATTCTTTCACTGCAAACGAAAGTGTGCTGTTTTTAACGAAGGTCCGGTGGTCTGTAGGGAGGAAGAGGACATTATTCTGACCTTAATTTATGAATTAACCAGGGATCACAGATCTCTTTAAAAAGAGAGGCCTGGACTTAAAGGCAGCCTAACGTGCACGTTTCTGGACTGTGGGAGGAAACCCACAAGGAGAACACGCAGACTCCACCCAGAAAGACCTCAGGTCCAAACCAGGGATGGAGGCAACAGCGCTGAAAATTAAAAAATTAAGGCTTGTCAAGTTTCATCAAGCATCATTTATGTATTTTTTACTCATAGCAAAGTCCTGAAGACTGTACAAATTAAGAAAACTTTATACATTTCTTTAAATTTGATCATTATGAGTGAAACATTTGGCCAGATGCTGACCGTTGCGTGTTTACCAACAGAAACAGCCGACCCGACTGAAAAAAGTCACATTTTTGGCCCAGCAGGCTGGAACCGGACTGAAGTGGGTCGGTCATGATTCAAACGTCCACACGGTTTCAGTGGATTCAGCAGAGTTTTGTTTACATCCAGTGTGGACCCAGATGTTTGAGCTGCATGCACTGAACCTGGAAAACATCTGGAGAAAACACGTTCAAATTATTTTATAAAGTTCAGGAAAAAACTTTTTCCTTGATTTCAGAGTTTACAGTGAATACTTTTAAATACCCATAAATTCAACAGATTTATTTATTTTTTTTCAGTTTTGTAGATTTACTTACTTTGAACTATTTTACTTTTATTAGTCTAAACGCGGTGTTCCTGAGTCCTCACAATATTCTGTCATTTGCTTTGTTAAATCCAGGAATTTTTCTAAAAAGTCAAAAATAAATGAAAAGCTCGGCGAAAGGCGACCAGTGGGGGAAGGAGACATATTTTCATGTAACAAACTATAATCGAAAACAACTAAAAGACAAAGCAAGGAACAAGAACAACAAGCAAAATGAACGTAAAAAATTGACCAAACAAACAGATGAAATTTAAAATATTCTGAACAAGAGAAAGAAAAAATAATGAAACATTACAAGTGCACCCGACAAAAAGCAAGAAAATATATTTATTTGCATCCTGGCTTGTGGCTTGAAATAATTTACCCTCCGTTTTATATTTTTTCTTTGCAATTATTCATTTTATTTTGATGAATGCAAAAAAAAAAAATACTGGAAGCTGCTTATAAATCAAGGCCCCGTCAACATGCACAAACCTACATGCTTTAATTTTCTGCTGCGTGCACACTTCTGTCATATAATAAAGACTGACACGTCGGTTCCTCAGAGTTTCCATGAATCTATGAATCTCCATCTGAGCTGCAAACCTGCGCTGACCCGCCATGAATAATGAATCCTGGTCCTCGTCATGCTCTTCGACCACACAGACTACCTGGAAGCTCTCTCCTGAACATGAACTTACAGGAAATGGCCTCGTTTAGATCGAACACAAGTGCAGAGACCCCCTGACTCCGCTCGGGGCCATTGTGCTGCTCTTAACCTGCGACCTCGCCCCCAGAAAGTGCTGCGCTAAGGGGGATACTGAGGCATTCACCTCCCGCCGCACTGAGAGGAAATCAGTGCTATTTATCACATTTAACTAATCGTCCATTTGCTATCTCTACTAATCTGACACTGCTGGGGACAAAAGGAGGTGAGAATTATGTTCAATGAGGGGGCCACTTGTCAGGGCTCGTTTTAAAATTAGACAATGACCACTCTGAAATGAATTCTGGCTAAAGTTCTGCCAGGAACTCTGTTCATTTCATGCTTTTTTTTTTCTCCTATAACTGTCCTGGAGGCAAATTCCCACAAATGCTGACTTGGTTTTAGAAACTTTTAGGGTTAAAAGTGGAACTACGTGATGGAAAATGGGGTTTTACAAAAGGGAAGCCACATGTGCAGCGTGAATCGATGACACCAGGAGCCACTCAGCAGTAAACACCCACTGTTCTGGGAGGTAATTAGAAGTAATTAAAGGGCCAGCGGTTAACGAGTGTCCGCCCACCAGGGGGGCTGATGTTGATAGATTAGCTGCACTAACGCATTTACAGTCTGCCAATCACTGTGGATGAAGCGGTTTTCCGGAGGAGGAGGGAAAAGTCCATTAGCACGAGCCTAAATCAGATCTGAGCGCGAGTTATCCGCCCATTTTCCTGATGTTCATTATCTGTCCCCTGATGCTCGTGCATTTGGCCTCAACTGATTGGCGCCCCACTCATTTTTGGGGCTTTATTTTCCTAATGAGTGTCACTGAGTTGGTGATGTAGGATATTGTTTGGGTAGTATTCTCAGTAATGTATCACTAATGCATCTGACGGTCTTCTGTGGGACTACTGGGTGCTGTCACTCCTCGGTGTTGTTCGGCACCGAGATGCACTAATGCATCTGAAAGCAAAAAAAATAAAAAATGCAGCAAACCTCCAGAGTCAAGCCTCAAATGTAATTTAAAAGTGCAGAATAGATAAGGTGGTGGAGTTCTTTAAGAGCAAGATGAGGTAAGTTCACCTTCCTTTGTCCTCTCATTGTATCCCTGCATTAAACGACAAACCATACCTGCAGCACTTCACTCGTATTATTTTATCGCTTCTCACCGGTCGCCCGTCTGAGTGGCAGATGACAGAGAGCTCCATTAGAAGCATGGTGGGTATGTACCTGTATTTGTAGAAGGGGCATTTAGAAGAAATCAGTGCAGTGCATTTTTCTTTTCTCCAGCCGTCCACCCTGCCTGCGCTACAAAATGGTCCCAGTGTGTTCTCGCCCTCATCTCCATTAAGGCCGGCGACTCGTATTGAGCTTGTGAGCTTTCAGGAGTGTGTTGTTTTTTTTCAGTATTTTGCAGGCACTTACACTCTATGTCCAATTGCACCATCCCCTCCTTGGGCCCAGCTTGGTTCTCGGCCTCACAAGTCAGGTTGTGCAGGTTGTCCTTGTAGGAAACGTTGGTGAGATGAAGGAGCAGATTTAATGTGGAGCCTGAGACCTTTTCCTGCAGAGAGTTACCACGGGGGTTGGGGGGGTCAATGCATCATCAGATCACAAAGAAGACACATGATGCCATTTAAAATAGGAAAAACCTGATTGGTATTAAACAAGCAGAACAAAAAGGACTGGGCTGTGATTGGTCCTCACAAGCACACGAAGAGATAATGCGTTCTACCTGGACAGTAAAGCGAGAGGCAAGTTCCTCAGTCCGCCATCTCACGTTGGGTGTAGGACTTCCTGTCACCTGACACTCAAACGTAAGGTTGCCTCCTTCTTGAGTCTTGTACTGGGAGGACACGATGGTGACCTCAGGCAGACCTGAAACAGTCAGGGGACAGGATGAGCACAGGCGGGACGACAAAAATCAGAGCTATCCACCTTATTCCTGGGGGCTCTGTTGTATAAACGATTATGGGTACAACTTCCTGTCAGACAGGAAGTAGCAGTAAGCACTAGCTAACAATATGGTAGCGGAACACGGACGCGGTTTATGTATTTTAAAGTAATTTGCATTCAGTTTAACAGATAAAACACTGTTTTTGTTTTGTTTCCATTTATTTAACAACTGTAAAATTTACTAAAATGGCCGTGCTGAGTTCAGGTACCTGTTGTGTTCACAGCTGCAGGACAACCAGACCAAACTAAATCTGTGGCTACAACAACGGAGTTTTCAACACGGAGCCAAAACAAAAAGAGTGTTCCTGTGAAAAGAGGTCTAGTTTCTATCTACTACCTACAGATGAGGAATTGAGAAGAATGTGTCTGAAAAATGTGAACTTGAAGAGAAAACCCAAAACTCTGTCATTTCACTTTGTTGACAAACAGCCGACGAAGGAAAACCTGCATCCTACTTTGTGTCTGGACTAAAATAAACCACCGGAGAAGAGACGCCGGATCCTCAGAAGGATTGAAAACAGTGATGAGAACATCAGGCATGATTTCAAGTGTATGGAGGTCACAGCTTTCTAGCATTTGTTCGTCTTCAGTTTATGATTTTCTCTGTAATTAACCCAAGCTCAGTGATGGAGGACTGTAAGACTTTGCTCTGTGTCTGATTAATAAGATTGTGTCCCACCTCTTTTAATAAAACACCACCGAACTTATTACTGTGTAGATACCGATACACCTCGGGGCTTTTTAGGTTGTTCATCGCTTCACCGTCTGAAGAACTGAGTCAGTGAAGTAGCTAAACATGCTAGCAGATGTAGCTAAATATGCTAGCAGATGTAGCTAAATATGCTAGCAGATGTAGCTAAATATGCTAG